ATTCATGAAATTATTGGAACTGCCTCTTAGACCTCTGAGCTTCCCTATAAATCTCTAAACCTAGCTTCCCTAAACTTATTGAAACTTATTTAATGATTTTACAAGTTTCTTCAAGTCCCCTGGACATCTCCGTAATTTTTTTGGCTTCCTGGAAGTTCTCAGACCTTGAAGACTTGAAGCTTCCTAGAAGAGCCCAAAGCTGCTCCAGAAAAGTGTTTCGGCAGCCTGTTCAAGAAACTTCCCTGAAATGCTTGGAATTTCCTTTCAATTTTCGGAATTTCTGTTAACACTCCGAACACGATGCCTCCGGTAAAATGTCTATCGGCTAATTGGCAATATTTGATAAATTATTACTCAGCATTTTATCAATAGGTTTTAAACCTTTTGATAGCGAATGCATTCTTAAAGTATGTAGTTTCAACCAGGGTTGCTTCCACTCACTTGCTATAAAAAAAAAATGTTTTTTTTTAATTATGAAATAATTAGATGATGTAACGATATGTTGTACTTGTGAGTAACAAGAAGAGGGTGTAAAGTATGTGTTTGACTCATAAAACCTATCAATTTCGCTTGCAGAGCGTCACAATCAGCGATCTTATGATTCGTGAGCGTTCACTCAGAGTGATTGCTCACGAATCATACAATCACTGATTGCGACGCACTGTAAGCAATATTGGCAGGTATTTTGAGTAAACACATACTTAACGATCTCTTCTTGTAACTAACAAGTACTAATTATCATTATAACATCTAATGATTTCATAATTCTGAAAAACATTTTTTTTAAAGCAAGTGAGTGAAAGTAACCCTGGGTTCAAGTGATGCCAATAGATTTGAAATTTGTCAATAACTGATCTGATGTTTTCCTGAAATTAATCAAACTGTACTGAAGTTCTTGAACTTATCTGAAGTTCTTGGAATTTCCCTAAAGTTCCCGCATTTTTTTCTGATATTCATGGAACTACACCAAAGTTCACGTAGCTTCCCTAAATATCTTAAAACTTCTCAGGAATTGGAGTCTTCTGTAAAATTCCTGCAATTGTCCTTAAGTCCCCAACAAACATTGAAAACTGAATAAGAGCTTGTTCATGCAAAATTGAGCTTGTAGTTTTTGGAACTTCCTCGGAGTTCTTATACATATGTTTCTGATGTTCATGGAACTTCCATTAAGTTCTCAGAAGTGTTACCAAGTTTTTTGGTCATTCTTTATGATCTATAAACATACCTGAAGCTTTCGTAAACATTTCCTGAAGCTATTAAAATTTCTGTAAAGTTTTTTTAAGCCAATTAATCCGTTTTAGAGCTCTCTGATCTTCGTCGTTTATGCCCTTAAAGATCTTTTAACTTCCTGACAACTCTAGGCATTCTTGAAGTTTTTGGAAATTCTGTGAAAGTTTCGGATCTTAAATATTTAGATTATATGTTAACATGTATTTACTGTAAATTTTTTTTAGCAACTTACATCAAAATAAACCATCAGTGTTTACTCGACTGTTGACAGAAGTAGGCCACTCTCAATGTGTGTCACGCGATCGTATGTTTACTCGGCAGCAACCATTGTGTGGTCCTCCTCATTGTTCTTCATCAGCAGTTCTTTTGGTCCATGTGTAGGCAACTTTGGAAAGGAACCGTTTCATGATAAGTGTGCGAGTGCTGACCACGTTTTGCGTCCATTGCTGCAATGGAAGCGCTCTGCCCCCCGTTGGCGATACTGTCATACAATCAAACCACTTAGAGCGGCTCCCGTTGTGATGGAGCAGGATAGCGGAAGATAAAGTGTTTATTGTGTCGTACCTTTTGAAAAGGTAGGGTTAACTACTCCATTTTCGGCCTATTAAGCTCAACCCGCACTTAGTCTTTCTTAATCGAGCGCAGTTTTGCACCAAACGAAATGTTATTATTACTAATGGCTTCCAAATTTTACCTTTCCGTATTTTCCGATTTGATAAAGAGAAACCAATCGTTGAGATATTGTCAAAAGCCAAACACTGCTTCTTGACGCCAAACTCGGCCTACGGATTCTAAACTCGGCCTAACGCATTGAAACGGCATGGAAACGCCAATGAATCCACTTCGGCCTATCGGATGGATAAAAAATTGATTCGATCGGAGCGCTTCTTTTGTTTTTGGGAATTAAGAATGCAATCCTTCATATCACGCGTTCTCTTTGACTTCGTTCGGTAGCTTATTAACTAAAGTATCCTACCAAAAGCATAATTGACTTGTAAACTCTGAAATCATGGATTTATTTGAAGTTTTCTGTTCGATAGGCCCAAAATGAGCGATTAGGCCGAAGTAGTTCTCTACCCTAATGTAGTTAATCATAAAACCTACAAAAGCTTCATACATCATTTTACGAAAGTCTGTTAATGAAAAAAGTTAGAGGCAAATGAATGTAAGTGAATGCACGAAATGAATGTAAATGATTTTCCATGCCTGACCATGAGTAATCACCATGACAGACCTGGTTCAAACCGCATTTTTCATACAAAATATATATATATATTTTTTTTTTGTATGGAAAAACGGTTCGAACAAAACGAGAATGCGGTTTCAATCACAAGTGACATTTACGTTCTACAATATTTTGAAAAATGTCAAAGACGTCATTTTGAAATAAGAAAATTATAAGGTCCATAATGGCCGAGTTTTAGCAAAAATGTGAATGATTGCCCACCGACAAACCGACATGACACTCAATTCTGACTTACGATTAAAATGTGCAGTGATCCGAACTGTCAAAACCAAAGGATTATTGATTAAAATTATTTGTCCAGAATAGATCAGACACGAACCAATTCATAACTTTTGCATGCGGGTTCATGGCTTAGCTAAATATTTCCCACGAACACTGAGCCAGATGTCAGTAGTGTGCTTTGGTCAGAAATTTCATTGTTTTTGCTATGGTCATTCATGTCGGTTTGTCGGTGGATTGCCCATAACAAACAATTATGCACCGTTTTATGCAAATCGGAGAAGGTCGTTTTTTTTTCGATTCGTCATTTGGCTTGGAACTGCTCTATATTAGGCAAAGCAGACTTTGCATCATGTGTGCGAATAGCATGAGGTCAACTTTGAGTATCTCTGCTGATATGCTGATGTCATGCTCTGAATAGCTGGTTCTATCTCCAACAGTTGACTCGAGTGATACGCCACACCATTGCCGAGGTGTTGATAGCTGCTTGGTGGTCAAAACTTGAAGAAGTTGTTTGAAGTGCTCAAACTAACGTTTTAGCTGGTAAGCAACTGTCCAGTCTTTTTTTTTTTTTCTTTTACTGGCATCCTTGGGTTCATGCTTCCTCCACTCTAGCGTCAACAAATTAGGTTTAGCTTTCATCAGTGTTGGAAAAGTTCGCGATATTTCACGAAGTTCACCAAGGGAAAAGTTCGCGAGTCATAGTGAGTTTTCGCGAACTTTTCCATCACTGGCTTTCATTGACTCGCGCTTCTTGGTGCTTACATTACACCGATGCTACCCCGCAAAAAACGAAAACAACATAAATGAACTGATACACGTAAAACAAATGTCTCTTACATCCAATGAAAGGTTGGATTTATTACATCCTCTGCACAAGTTTCAATGTTTTTGTAATGACATACAAGCAAGTTTTTTTTTTCCAGAATGCATAATTTTGTATAAAACCTTCTCGAGATGATTTTCTAGACGCAATGCATTTGGGGAAACAAACTGTGTTCGAAAAATAAGCTAATAGAAACTGCTCATGTCGGGAAACATTACTAATTCTGCACACTTCTGTTATAGAATCTTACATTTTCCCCGGTTGGGTGTACTGAATTCATCTGACCCGTGAAAATCGACACTTTGTTTCCATTAAAATTTACACATTGCACCCCAAATTAAAGCAACTCATTCATGAGACCTATGTTAAAATCCCAAGAATTTTCCACTGAATAATAAACATTTCCTACTGACCCAGTTTACAACGTCCCACAAAAAAATAAATCAAACCAACCTGAACGCGAAACAATACACCCCCAACAGAAACTGGCAAGCCATTTTACCTTACAGCAAGTTAAATAAACTCAACCGGTTCTACAAATTCCGGTCCTGTCACGATAGCCGACTGTCACCTTGTACACCGGACCTTGTCCGGCAATGTACAGAAAGCGAACAAAAAAGTTCCGTTTTCGCCATTCCCCTTTCGGACATTTCCTTTTTTCCCACGTAGTTTTTCACACCGGGTACAGAGAGCCAAAGAAAAATTGACAATCGGCTGTCACTGCCACCCGTCTCCTCGCGCCAGGTACCGTTACGGTAGAAAAGGTCGATGTATCTAATGGATTGCCACCCCTTAGACTTCTCAACAGAAACGTTGACGGCGGAGGACAGTTTATCAACCACAATTGCCTTCTTGGTAAGCCCAGCTGACGAGGGGAGATTAGAAAGCCCTCCAGCTTAACCAGAACAACGTACTGCAGGATGAATTGAATTACTAAGCAAACTGAATCATCAAATTACTCTTAATCATATTTTCACATGCCGTACCCACCCTCTGCCAGAAAGTGGGATTAACATTTTCATTCAAATTCTTATAATTCAAGCACCTTCTCCTTAGCAACATGGGAAACATCTTTCCCACCCCCGCCGGGGGGTAATCTAATTACACTCTTACTCAACGTACCCTGCTGAGCGACCGGTTGGGGGAAAAGTGTTGACATGAATCTTCCATTCGATTTAATTAGTCGATGGTAGATGAAGAAAATGCATCGTCACACATACCCACCGAGCCATAGTCAGTTGTTGAACCCCTCGACTCGACGTAATGCCACCTTTCATCCTATACAATCTCTGCTTCAACTGACGCTGTGTGTGGCTCACTTTGACATGCATTTGCGTTGTTCTCTATTTCTTACTACATACCCACACACATACACACACTTATACAACAACCCCGAGTCTGAGATAGCGCCGACCCCCCGCACACCACGTGCCGTTCCCATTTGTGTCCCCCCTTGTAATGTGTGCTCAACCTTTCCAGGCGCTGTAGGCGGTGACGGCGGTGACGATGAGACCGACAAAGAGAAGGAGGAGGAGGCCGAGCGCGAACGCCAGGAGGCGATCAAAGAGGCCGAAGATCGACGAAAGGAGAAGCACCGCAAGATGGAGGAGGAGCGGGAGAAGATGCGACAGGAAATCCGAGACAAAGTGAGTACCGTGACTTGCGATTTTGTTACTGTTCTTGTTCTTGATACCTAACTTTTGATCACCAACTTTTCGGTTTCGGAAAGAAAAGGAGGCGGACGGGTTTATTTATTTTTTTCGTTTCGTGGATGACGGAAAGAGTCACATGCCGTCGCAAGTGTATGGTTCTCCTTCTGAGTCTGCTGAAGTGTCTAATTAGAGTTTGTGTAAACTGACAAACATATGTCACACGATAGCTGACGGATGAAAGAAGTGAAAAATGGTCATCACAGGATGGAGTTTTGTCTCGTTGAAGGATATTTTGACGGGAAAACTGTTCCCCTTAACAATGAAAAGCTGCGCCCCATAAGAGTTGAGGGAAATGATGACAGAGGTGAGTTCGAGTGAATAAAATGAGATAAAGTTTCCGTAATAAACGTGTTCAGCACACTTATAAATAACTAATTTCACACATGACGTAATCCATCTTCGACATTAAGGATGAGACGTAAACGATTATGTCATGTAAAATTAAGTGCTACGAGAGTGAAAAGTTCGTTACTCAACGAAATTTACTTTTGATTGAGATGAATTTCGCGTCTGTTATGACTCAATTTTATGACAAAATTGACGCTCGTACACTGAACGAAAACTGCTCGAGCCCTTTAATTGCTGTCGAATTGGCTGTAAAACATACAGCGCTCAGGGGACACTTTTAGGATAGGATGACTTGCAAATGCTTAAGATTAGATTTGAAATTCGATTGTTTACATTTCCATATTGAATAGCCATGAACAGCAATTCCATCATGGATACAAAAATTGTAGGTAGAGGAAACTTCCTCCATCACGAAAAAGACAATCTTCGGTTTACACGCTTTACCAATGTTGATACCACCTCTGATAGCTACACACACTACACACTTAGAAATAACTAATTTTACAAGTGACGGAATCCATCTTTGACATAAAAAACTACTAAATTTACATGATTTTTTCTAATGCCGAATTTGTTTTTGATTCAGTTCCAACCTGAATCGGGTGCAGGGATGCCAGATTTGAAAATATGTCTTCATTTTGAAGACATTATAAATTCTGTGAAGACATTTTTTATTCCCGCAAACATTTTGAAGACATGTTTTTTTGGAGATTTTCGAAGACATGTTGAAATCGAAAGATATTTTCGAAGGCTTTTTTTCATTTGAAGCATATAAAAAGGTGAAGATTTTTGCAAATTTGAAATGAAGGATTTGATCTTAAAGTATTAGCTCCTTCTTGATGTTGATTATTAATAATGCAAACAATATTTTCAAGAAATATGCCCAGGATTTCACTGAAATCGTCGATTAGCTCACCCAGTCAACATTTTGGCCCGTATAGTCCCAGATATACACAGTGATGTACTAACCAAGCAAATCGTATAAGATGCGCAGATTTGTTATATACGTTCCATAGTGGAGGCCATATACATACATACTATACTGGCTTTCCAATAACGATTTTGCCGATTTCAATATACCAGAAATACGATCATCCATATAAATAAAACAAAAAAAGCTATTCCTGCAGATAGTCTCCATACCTCTACCTTTGTATCCAGAAACCAGAACTGAATCCACTACACCATTTAAGAACTTGTTAGTACAGAGGATTATATCAATGATAAATTATACGCTTCAAAACGCCTACTTGGACTTCGATGTTGATGAAAAGCATCAGATTATGTTAACGATTGGATCTTGAGTTGGTTTAGATTTCACGGCACCTTCCTCCACATCCTATGACAATCATATTTATTACTATACAAATAGTCGCATATTTTGATGACACGCAATAGAGAGGTGTAACCATTTACGGTCTTTTGATTTTGATCGTAGTTTTGCGTTAATTTCAACGTGAATTGCAACAAGATGGAATGCTCTTAAGTCTTATTGGTCTTATCTTGAAGCAAACTCAAATGCAATCTAGTGTGCACATTCTTATGCTACCTTTGATTATCTGGGGAAATGATATGCTTAATTTCCATCAATTTGAGTGAACATAATTTACAATCTAATCTGTAATAAAAATTTCAATTTCAAAAACCTTACAACTTCATTCGAAATTATTTGTGATACGATACACGATACAAAAATGAATCATCGCCAATAGGTTGAAAATTTGCATTCTTTGCGACTAAACCTAAACATTATACGGTGCATCTCATTCTTGTATGCGATGTTGACTTTATCAGTAGCAATTTACGATTCTATTTGTATGCTGGTATACGACTTCTGGTTGTCTGATTATCTTCTTAATACTTCATGAACAACGACGTTTGTAGTTTTGAATTATTATAGATCTACAGAATAATACTTGATCCACCTGAAGTATTGAAAAAATATCTAGAGGATTTTACTGCAATCATCGTTTAGTTGGAGATCTTTTGAATGTTCCCTGAACAACCTGTCGTTTAGGGAGAATATCTGAGAGAATACCCTATAGCCTCTAAGTTCTCTGAACATCTACAAAATTCCCATAAGTCTTTAAGATTTCCTCAACTTCTACGAAGCTCGTTGAACTTCTCCGAAGATTAATTTTTTTTCCAAGATCTTTTAATTCAACATCTACGAACTTAACATAACACAAATTTTCAACGAATGTTCCTGAACATCTCGAAAATCCTCTGATATTAAACTTACCTGAAACGAAGAGTCCTGATAATCTTTGAAGTTCGCTGGAATTTTATTATTATTATTTTTTTTTTTTTGATCTTCTACGAGATCCCCATACATTTTTCGAACTAACCTGCACTTCTGTGATTTGCCAAATCCGAACTGCCGTACCGTCCGCTTAACGCCTTCCATTCAATTTTGCACAGTGCCCAAGTAACATTTTAAGTTTTATGAAATACTACAAAGCAACTATAAAACAACATTCATAAAACCCTGGTCAAGGCTATTTTGTCATTAATGCATTCACCAAAACCTCATTAAGACTAGAATATGGCTAGTTGGCCCACCCTGGAGAAGGCTCTGAAGGGTGTATTCTCGAAGCTCTTCAAGATTGATTTACTGCAAAAGGTTGTATGACGAACGCATTGAGAACCATTTGAAAGCTACAATAAAAGCTATTTAGCAACAATAAAAACCCTTTCCGAGCTATTTTCCCTAGCCGCATGCTGAATCCACTAGGAAAGCATCAATCAAGATAGAAAAGGATTTATGAATCCGATCTTATCAAAATAATTAAAATAGAAACTGATGGTATAAAAATCTCATTAAGTGGCTTAGTTTTAAGTGCCCTATAAAATTTTATGTGAAATGTACGTGAAAACATCGAAAAAATTAAGTCCACCCTCGTAAAACGTCGATTTGACTAATTATTTAACATTGAAAAAAATGTATATTCTTCAGATCGAGCTTGGCCGAGACTTTTTTTTATTATTTTTGCATTTAAACGTTTTCTCATTGCTAAATTTACCAAAATAAAGTTATATCTAAGGAAATATTGATTGCAAATCGAAGATTGTAAAAAACAAGCAAACTAATTGTAACAGGGCGGTGGCATAAAAGTTGATTTTCATGGGTCATTTGCGAAAAAGTTGTTTAGCTTTCAAGAATTCCTTAACAAATTAATAAGGTTTTAAAATGGCTTTTATGAAGAAAACTTGCAGGCTGAATTGTATTTATCTAAAGCCATTTTGCTTGATCCTAACCCGTTCAGATTTATGGCAGCATTTATGGAGGCAAAGTTGCCTGCAAAAAGTTAAACGTCAAAGTTTGTTTATCTTTCGGTAGTTGCGCTGTGAGATCCAGGATTCTTCCAGGCGGTTTTATCCCGATGGATTGGGAGCAGTTACTCAGATAGTTTGCGATACTGTTCTACAACATTTCGCATTTCGAACAGCTGGAAGCGCAATCGTGCCCGAAAAAGATCCCCTTCTTCCGGATGGTTACAGAAGTGCACCATCCAACGATGCAGGGATGTACGCTTGAATGAAATGTTCGAAAAGTTGATTCTTTCGCCGAATAAAATCGCTGCTATGGATCGGAAACCAGCTAATCTCCGCTAACTAACAGTGCAGTGGTTTGCTGTCGGTTGTTATTTCGATTGTCATCTATTAGCAAGATCTAGAGAAGGCTGGTATGTTTTAAAACTTTCGACAAAGATTGATGAATTCGAGGGCCACGCTCACTTTACTCTTCTCCGCCAGATGTTCAGTCGTTGATGGTGTGCTGGTTCTTCTAAAGAAGTAAATTTTGCTGAAATCGACTTGAATTTTTCATCCTACTTCGTCTATCCTTCGAGATTTCCTTGTCATAAATTTGGCATTTATTAACTATGAAAACCATCTTTTAAGCTCAATTTGTAAACAGAGTAATTGGGGAGTTAATGATGCACTTTAAAAAGCCTAAAAAGCAACAATGAATGCTTTTTGCTCTAATGCAATACCTAATTGTTTTATGGTTGCTTTTATAATGATAGAACACGTTTATAAAGTATTTTATAAAGACATTAATAAACAATAGCTAATGACGTTTATGCTTGAATTAACGAACAGTTTTAAGGAGGGATTGATAACTGTTTTAAATTTATTTTTAAAACGAGACAGTTTTTGACTTTCTTGCCAGACTATAAAAGGTTTTTAAAACAGTAAAAAGCTGAATTACTAAGCAGGAATGTTTTACACTTTGAAATGCTATTTTTAAACTAATTGGATTGTTCATTGCCGTTATAAAACCACCATAAATCAGAGTGGATGCTAAATGGTTACTGGATTGTTTCTTGGGTGGTCTCATCGACCTTATTCGCCACCGAACGCCAGTTAGATTTAAACTGCTGCTCGTTTTCCATGAATTTATTAGTTTTTTTGAGACTCCGTTTGACCAAGGCTCAATACCGTTCGATAGGGTGGAGTTCTGGGCTGTTGGGAGGGTTGTGATCTTTGGGTACCACAACCACGTTGTTTGCATCGTACCACTCGATTTCCTTAAACTAAATACGTGCCAGGTTTGAAATGAATATTTTCGAACCTGGAAGCGT